CCTTTGAAACCAGCCCTCCAAAGGTGGGGAGACATAGGGCTCAAACATTTCTGAGGAAACAGCCCTTTATTTGCAAGGAGATGTTGCTGCCTTCAGGACAACTGCTGCACATGGACAAGTCTCTCACTACAAGGCTGATATGACCCCTTTGCTGACTTCCCTTTTGTTTAGATTAACTGATAATTACCAGGCACAGCTGTTGGGGGTTTTTTGGGGTTTTTTAAGTAGATAGAGAACACAGAGATTGGTGTTGAAGGCTGGGCACAACCTGCACACAAGCCATGCCAGAGCACTCAGCTTTCTCCAGCAAGAACATTCCTGAGAGCCAAATCCTGATGGAACCCTTGCACTCCCCTGGGTATTCCCATATCATTTATCTCCTTAGCATCTCCTTTGGGATGTGGGGAAGAGGCAACAGGTCCCCCCTTTGCTGCAGGGGTGTCCCTGCAGACCCACACACCCCCTGTGCCATGACAAAGGTGCAGCACAGACACTGGGGGTGCTGCCACCCCAGCTCCTGCCAGAACTGACCCAGAGCCCCACTCCTGACCTGGCTTGGATTGGAGTGCATGACCTAGAGGTGAACTGCTCTATATCCCATATCCAGTCTCCCACTGAGTTTATTTTCTGGTGTGGCAGATCAAAGACTGCTGTAAGGAGAAAATCTATCAAAGGCTCAGCACCCCAACATAGATCCAGCCCGCTTTTATGTTTACTTTCAACAAGCATACTCCTCCCTATTGTTCAGCAATTGCTTTAAAATGGACAATTATCAGATTTCCCTATTAATGGGAAAAGTCAGGCAATCATAAATCTTAAAACATGCTACTATCTGCACACTGCATGTCACACATTATGGAAAAACCAATCTGTGGAGGAAAGCTATTACCGAGTGACCATGTCTGGGCTCAGCAGCTGGTTTTAATTTCAGCAGAGGATCCCCTCTGCTTCCCAGCATCCAGCAGCACTGCTCTCCCCACTGCTTCCCTGTAAGCACTGCAAAACTACAGTGTTGGCCTCACACTACAGCAATTCAGTGCTGCAATCAGCAAGGAGAACTTCTGCATCTTAGCAACTGCCAGCCCCTCACTGCATCCACCTTGTTTCTCATCCCATCCAAGAATGGATTGGGTTGGAAAGGACCTTAAATATCATCCTGTTCCACCCCACTGCCATGGACAAGAACACTTTCCAATAGACCAGGTTGTATCCAGTGTGTTTGGAAGAAGTGAAAAGTTCTTTTACTTGCCCTATACAATGACCTACACAAGGCTGAACCTGGTGACACACGGCCTTTCATGTCCTGGTACCTCTCATATGGCACAGACAGCAAAAGAATGGACCAAAAGATACAGGTTGGTCTTCTGGATAAAGCAGCAGAATGTCATTCAGGAATTCCTAGGTGGCATTCTGGCCCTCTCCATCAAAAAGGGCGGGAATCTAAAGCAGCCTCGAGGACAAATCTTTGTTCTGCTACAGTTTACAAGTGGCTTTGGATAAATTCCTTAACCACCCTCAGTTCCCATTCCCTGTGCTAACTGGGATACTCATGCCCAGTTTACTGGGATGTCTCATGAATTATCTGGTATTTGGGAAGCTCTTAAATCCATGTAACTCACATGTAAAAATGAAATGTGATCCTGCTTTTAGATCAGAACAACAATAATTCAGAACTGAGCACATTTTGTTTTGATTTTCCTAAGACTGAATTCACTGAGACAAGTGACAAAGAAATATGATTCACCATATTCATGACTACTTCCAAAATGGTTTACTTTAATCTGAGCAATTGGAAAAATGTTAAAGGCAAAACTGCTTTACCCAGCTGACTTTAAAAGGTTGTTTCATTCCACATTTCTGTTTTCAATAAACATCCCAGGATAAAAACATCCCCTGCAGCAGATCTATGCAAAGGACAAAAAGGCGTTAAATTCAAAGTGGGGGCGGGTGGAAGAGATAAATAGTTTACTGCTATTATCTTTACCATATGTTCTATTCCAAGTGGATACACATAAACAGCATGCAATCTTCAAGCTCAGCTTTAGACTCTTTGAAGTGACCTGACCATACTACTGATTTATTTCAAACTAACCTTTCTCTTTGAACCTTAGGTCAAGGTTAATTCCATAATAAAACATTCCTTATACAGCTGGCTGTTCCAGTGGTGCTAGCAAGGAACGAGGCCCTCAGTCATAAGCATTTGTTTCACTGAGTGTGGTATTGTATTTCTATTTTCCCTTCCCTGTATTAATTTCCTTCACAGACCCTAGTTAAGGGGAAAAAAAAACTCTTTTCCGGTCCATGAGATCAATTTTAAACACACTGGAATTAAATGAAGACATTTAAGCCACATTTCTTTGCTGAAATGCATCCGCCAACACCAGAAACTATTTTTATTACCATCTATGTTTAATAATCAGATCTTCAATTTCATAGGAAGCCACACAGCCATGTTTTTCAAACTCCTGCACTGGCAACGACCCTTTCAGTATCTTTTATGAAACCATCTCTGCACTGAATCACAGCAAATCACCAAGGATAGCTTTTCTATCTAGGAAAATAAAGTGAGAAAAAAGAAACACATCTCAAGGGCCCTTCTCAAAAAAAACCAAAGGAGAGCTCCTTGCCAGTGCCCCAGCCAGTCTTGCCTGCCTGTAGGTATAGAAGCATGCCAAGCAGGGGTGCAAAGGTGTGGTAGAAAGCTTGGAATGTGGGATGCACTCACTAAGAAACACTGAGGGGCACAACACATTGGTCAAGCATTGCTCATCAGTTTTTTTTCCAGAGGACTGGAAAGATGCTTTTCAATTTCAGTCTCCAGCCCATGGCACATACTCACAGCAGTTAATTAAAAAGCAGCAACACCAAAGCTAAACCAGCAGCTGTTCCACATTTCTCCCGACTCCAGAGCCTTGCCAACACAGTGCCTCTTGGAGCTGTTGGGAGAGGGATGAGCAGAAACCTTTTTTTGGGTTCAGGGTTTCTGCAAGGCACAGGCTAGAAAATCTCATCTGCTGTAGCTAACCCTGAGGGGAACTGTGCTTCCCCTCCAAAGGAACAATGATGTTATCCAAGCTTATCCTCCCACATTTTGCAGGCCTGAGTCTACAGCAGTTGATGTTCAGGATCACCAGCACACCAAGGCTCACTTCCCCTAAAACAGCCCCAAAAGCTTTCAGCACTTCACCTCTGGCTTAGGAACAGCTCTGTAAAACAGGGTTTAGCCCCGTGTTCAATGAGTTTGAGCAGGCAGCACTCTCAGGCAGCATCGATACAGCAAACTTGTTATCTCATCAGTATGTGTCATTGGGAACGCAGCTGAGCCTCCGTAATGGGAGCCCCATCCATTTGGAGTCCCAAAGGTAGGCATCGGTTTTGGATCAATGCTCTCACAATCTCCATTAACTATTAAAGTGCCAGTGACATTTTAGATCTATTTTGGGTTCATTTTTTAAACCATAACAAGGTCACAGAAGGTCTTTCACTGCATTTTGACTCTCTTAGAGTAATATAAAAAGTGGTGGCACAGGAAGCCCAGCATCCCCAGAACTGAGGTGGTTCCAAGGCAAACCTTTCCCCTCCAGCTCTCCATTCCCATTTCACCACACTGTCTTTCTTTTCCAGCTTCTCCTCAGGGACTACTGCCTATTCCCACTCCTTAATCACATGCCAGGACACCCCACTTCCAACAGCAGGGCCCTAGCTGGCAGTGTCCTGCATATCCTGCTCTTGACCCATGCTCTGTCCCAAAACCACAGCCCTGGGCAAACTTGGAGGTAAAAGATACAGGATGCAGAAATTCCCAAACAAGAGATACACCTTTTGCTATGTGGTGTGTCATTCCTTGTCCCACAGATATCAAAAGCAATAGTCCCCCTCTTTCCTCTAACACAGAAATTGGTATCTTAAATGAGGGCACAGGAATTATTAATATCAGTTCAAAAGTTCAAAATAACAACATAAAATTCCACCTAAATTCCACATCTCTACCATTTTCTAAACTTCTTCAACAAGCACCAAAAAATATTACATCTAATGATTTACTAGCGAATGAAATCAGCCAATTAGACAGCCAAGGACTGATATTGAAAAAAAGGATCACACAGAACAATTTAATATCATGGGAGATAATAAACATGTCCTGAGCTGGATCAGTGAATGATGTTGCTAACAGCCTGTCAGACATATCAGATATTTACAGCAGAATAAGGCACCACATCAGATAAAGTAAAATACATCCTCTCAAGGATATAGAAATTTGGAAAGGAATCACTCCAGCTGCATTTCAAGTCTGGGTAATTTCCATAACTCCTGAGAAAAGGCTTTGTGTGGTGCTAGCTCTCTTCTTAGGGCACCCATCCATGCTGCTGGCATGTGGGAGACACTCCGGAGCAAGCAAGTTGAAAAATAGCACAGACCTCACAGACTGGACAATGTTCTAAAGATAAAAACATGCACAGGTATCTACTAAATTGAGTAGTGTAAACTAAAGGCACCTTTAAAGTAATTTTGTCTACATGCTGTCATTAAATATGTCAGACCCAAGCAAGTATTTGTGCTGTCCTAGAAATGATGGCTTAATATTACAGACTTTTTGATGCAGCTGCTACGGAAAGGTGCTTTTCTGGATAAACTAGTAAAAAGCAAGTAAACAAAGCTACAACTCAATTCAATTATATATATTATTGTGAAATATCTTACAATTTAATGCAACAGTGCACAGGCTATCTGGTTATACCCAAAATTTTGAAATCTGATCATTATTAAGTGTATTCAGAATTATTAAACATTTCAAGTCATTCCAGTGGATGATTAAGAATGGGAATTCTGCACCTTGGGAATCAAGTTCCCTTTTTTTTTTTGCTTTTGACCAGTTTCACCTTAGACAGGATATAACACAGCTGGTGTTCCTATTAAAGAAGGCTGCCAATTTCAGCTCCAGCTATCTCTGGAAATCCAGCTACAAGATGAGAGCCCAGTAAAAAGTATTCACAACTGACCTTAGCATTTTTCTGAGCATCTGTGCATGCCTGCATCAGTTCCTTCGTGGATATGTGCAATATCCCTCCTGAATGAAGAAACCAAGAAAGGTGTTAGAAGACCTCAAATATTGCTATATACTTACAAAATTTTACTCAAGATACCAATATCTGATATCTAACAGCATTTGGGCTGAGGAGGCTTCCACCTTGATGATGGGAATTTCTAAGACATTTTGGGACTGGAAAGAGGCTTCACAGCCCTAACACCACACCAGCATTCCAGGGAGGAACACTGAGCCTCAATTTCAAGCAACATAGGGAATGCAACCTGATGAAGAGGTTAAATTAAAAAGAGAATTCCTCTCCCTTAATCCTGCAATGCCAGCCTGCGGAGATGACTCAGACAAACCTGGATTCTTCCTCAAGACTACAAATTTGGATGACAAAGGGAATTGCTTTGTCAGGGAGGAGTAATGACATCAACATGTTTTTGACTTAAGTAAGTCTGTTAAAATTAGAGCTACATAAAACCAAACTTGACACAAAAAACAGTCTCCTTAGATAACCCTTCTAGTTAATCTGCTGTTTCACACGAATGCAATGCCCAAGATGGGAGTTTGCATCTGCCAGGCCCCAGCAGTTGAGGGCAGGGCCCTGGGACCCTCCCAGTGCTGTGCAGAGGATGGGGCACAAGCCACCTGACAGGGCCACTGTGCAATTAACACCCCAGCACACTGTCAGTGTCCCCCCTCTGTCCCCTGCCATGGGCTCCTGATGTGCTTGCACTCTGGGTATCAAGAGCTGAGGTCCCCCTCCATGTCCTCTTTGCCCCATGGTCTTGGGGCCTGACTTGGTCTGTACCTGAGGTAAAGGTGACATTTCCCCTCCTGACCCATAAACCCTTCCAGTCTCTGAGAGGAACATGCAATTGCTCCCTTTACTCCCTCCAGGTCACTACCTGAGAATAAGATGCTGCTGTACCCTGTAGGCCTCTCGCAGTTTCCACCTGAAGAGAAAGCACCATTCTCCCATATCCCTCTCCCAGTCTCTACCTGTGAGGGTGATCCCATTTTTCATGGTACCCCTTTTCTCAATCTCTACCTGAGGGCAAGGTGCCATTCCTGTCTATACTCCTCTCCTGGTCATCCCCTGAGGGGAGGGTGCCGTGGCCCACTCTACCCAACTCTTGATCAACACCTGAGGGGACGGCGCCATTTTCCCACCGCACCTCCCTCAGTCTCATCCTGAGGGGAAAGCACCATTCCCTCGTCATACTTTTTTTCAGGTCATTACCTGAGGCAAAGGTGCCATTCCCTTTCGTACACCTCCTCCGATCTCTGCCTGAGGAGAAGGCGCTATTCCTCACGAACCTTCTCTCGGCCGCTGCCTGAGGGGAAGACGCCACTGCTCCCTGAACCCCGCTCCTGGTCTCTGCCTGAGGGGGAAGGCGCTACTCCCCACGAACCTTCTCCCGGCCTCTGCCTGAGGGGGAGATGCCACTGTCCTCTGTAATAATCTCCTGTCTCTACCGGAGGCGAAGGCCATTCCCCCAGACCTCCGTCCCCTCGTAACGGGGCACAACCGCCCGCCGCCCTCGCTCCCGGAGGCGCACCGACCGGCGGCTCCGGAACGGCGCGCGGCGGGCGGAGGCGGCTGCGGGGCGGGGCGGCGGGGCCACGCCGCGGCCCCGGCGGCGGAAGGGGCGACGCCGGCGGGGCGGGCGCTGCCGCCTTGTCGGAGCGGCCGGTGCTCGGTAGCCCCCGCCGGGCATGTCAGGACCGGGCCCCGGCCCCGGCGAGGTGGCCCTGGGCGCCAGGGAGGCGGCGCGGCGGGACCCGCTGGCCGCCGACCTGCGGTGCAGCCTGTTCGCCGCCGCGCTGCAGAGCTACAAGCGCGACTCGGCGCTGAGGCCCTTCCCGGGCCGCTACGCCAGCGGCGACAGCAAGGACTTCGAGGGGCTGGTGAGTGCCGGGGGCCGGCCCGGGACAGCTGCCCGAGGCGCCAGGGCACCTCCCCCGATAGGGAGCACAGGCTGCCCGCAGAGGTGAGGGCAGCGGCGCCGAAGGGTCACGGATCAATCAGGATGAAAGGTTTATCTAGTCAAGAAATCCAGGTTTAAAAGAGTATTTGGGATTCTGACCGATAAACCCACACTGGGAAACGCCCAGATCCGGTGTGGACAGCACATGAAGTAACAAGCCATAGGTAACAGGTAGGGAGCCGACAGGACGAGGGAGCGGCCTCAAGCGGCTCAAGATTGAGGATTCGGGAACATTTCTACCCTGAACGGGTGGCTAGGCATTAGCACAGACTGCCCAGGGAAGTGATGGAATCACCATCCCTGGAGGTGTTCAGAAAACACGTAGATGTGGCACTGGGGGTAATGGTTTAGTGGTGGGCTTGGCAAAGTTAGGCTAAGGGTTGGACTCAGTAATCTCAGACGCGTTTTCCAGCCTGAATGTTTCTAATATTCCGTGAAGTGTTATGAGAGCTTGCCAACGTTACATTCAAATTCATATTGAAGGATTTGCATGTTACATGACCTGAACACTCCTGTGTCAGGTGTACTGCACATGCTGCCCTGTGATACATTGTTTTCTCTCAGGAGTGCGTCTCATTGTTCCTGTACAAACCCTACAGATAGCGTTGGTAAATATCACTGTTTGTAACTTGCCTGCTATTTGCGTTCAGAGCAATTGACAAACTTCCCCACAAACTGGAAACAAATGTTTATATCTCAGAACAGAACCTGTTTTTCTGTTGGTTGGGGTGAAATATTGTTTCGTTTTCACTAGAGGTCCCTGTTTAATCGCAATGGCACTAAGGAGCCTGTGCTAAATGCCTCTGTTGTTAGCTTGCAGATACCAAGGCTCTACCAAGCCTCAAAGAGCTTCTGGAATCTGTTCCAAATACAGATACAAGGACCTGGGAGCTGTTTAGTTGGATTCTATCATCTAAAGTCTTCATGATACAAAGTACTAAGAAACAGGAGGTAAGTTTTGAATTCTGAAAATCTAAATTAGAATTTGGCTTTTGAGGCAAACTTGCTCTTCAGACACTATTTTCTCCTCCCAGAATTAAGTTGGTTATTGTGAGAGCTTGACAGCTGAACATAAATCCATTCTTCTCTGTATGCAGAGAGGGATGTTTTAAAGTAAATTTTCAGGAACACTGGTTGGAAGAAAGAGTTACCAATGTCAGTAGTTGATGATGGACAGTGATTGTAGTTGATTACTGCAGCTAACATAACATGCACATGCATGGTTTAGGCTGAGAGAGTCCAATTTGGGTGTCATGGAGCTGGGTCCTGCTTGTCACTGAGAAAGACAACTCTTGTCTTCTGCCCCAAAAAGGGAAAGGTTCAGAGCCACTCAGGCACTTCTGTAACAGGGATCAAAATAGTTGTAGAGATTAGCAGCAAGCTGAAAACAGCTTCTGTTTTTGTTTTTTTCCTCTTGCAAGATCAGCTGATGAATATATTGTCTTAATAGCCAAAGCAGAATTGTGATATTGTCCTTGCATAATAAATTAATTCATAATTACAATTCAGGTTTGGGGTTTTTTTTCTGAAGACAAGATTAAGGATTTAACTTCAATAGCAAGAAACTGGCAGGATTTTTACTGTGCACTTACTCCTTCTGAATTGTGAGAGTGTTGAATTCTAACTCAGAAAAGCATAATCAGAATCCATTAAACACTATGAAGGGACGGGAAGCAGAATTTCCAGTGAGTAATCTAACCACATAAACCAACATTGATATTCCTTCCTGTTTTTAAGTATGAGAAGATCCAGGAACTCACAGGGATGTCTGGGGCTGCAGTTCCTGCTCCAGACTATCTCTTTGAGGTCATGTACTGTGATCAAATGAACACTAAGTTTGCTGAGACCAAGGGAGAGCGGGACCTTATCTACGCCTTCCACGGGAGCCGCCTGGAGAACTTCCATTCTATCCTGCACCACGGCCTGCACTGCCACTTGAACAGGGTGAGGCTCCTGCCATTGACACCATCTTCCCTTGCTCACTTGCAGCTGGGGACACATTTTAAAAATAGGCCCAGATTCCTTTTGGGGTATGAAATGTGCTGATGCTCTTGTTCTGCTGTGTTCATTTCAGTGTAGGCCTTCGCAGATGGCCGTGTTGGATTTTCTAGTGCAGCCTGAGGGTAAAAACTGGAAGTGGCATGAAACCCTTTTCACCAGTGTGACAAATTATGACTGTCCTTTGCTTCTTTATAAGGAAGCGTAATTCCTCTGAAAATCCTGTCCTGTCTGACAGCCTGCAGCTGGGAAGTGCCTGTCTGCAGAGACGGAGGATAGTGGAGATTTTCTGCTTGGCCTTGTATTCAGATCAGCAAAGTTTCAGGTGCTACTTGCCAGTGGAGCCTTCTTAAAATGGTCTGGTTCAAGGAGACATCCCACAGGATTTGCACCTCTTCTGATTTCAGTGGAAGGGAAGTTGAGATTCCTGGCTTTTTGTGTCAGCTGTGAGGCAGCTTTGACACAGCACCTGCTTGACATTCCAGTCAACCTGGATTGTGTTTTTTCCCCACATTCTCAATGAGTAATGGTTTACTGGGTACAATGGACTTACTGGAGTAATAATTTTAGCCAGTGTGGCAAATTGAAAAGTTCTTTCCTCTTTTCTAGTAAAGCATGGATTTAAATGAAGTAAAGCCTTGTCTTGTTTGGGGAGTTTAGATTACTTGAATGATGACAGTCTCAATAAATCGATGAAATGCCTTTTAACAGCGGTGCAGTCATGTTGATGTAAAATACTTTTGCTGGCAAACTAACCCCAAATCCGGGAAAGCATGAATCTGTCCACACCAAGTGCTCTGCCAAGCAGCTAATTTGAGGGATGGGAGAGGGCAGCAGCCCCACCCCAAGGAAGTTGTGCCAGGACAAAAACAGTGCATGGAGCAGGCCCAGCATGGGTCAGAAAGGCCTTTCGTAATTTACCTTCAGGAGCAGAACTGCCAGTCTGAAAGGAAAGAACACTCGTATGTTGTTTGAGGTTTGCAGCACATGATTTTAGGGTGGATTTCTGCTCTGTTTCAGACGTCTCTGTTTGGTGAAGGCACCTATCTGACCAGTGACCTGAGCCTGGCTCTGCTGTACAGCCCTCACGGCCTCGGCTGGCAGCGAAGTGCACTGGGCTCTGTCCTCAGCTGTGTGGCTGTCTGTGAGATCATTGACCACCCAGATGTAAAGTGTCAGGTGAAAAAGAAAGGTGAGGCTAGCACAGTAATAACTGTGTAGCAGTTACATCTGTCCTTCATGTTGTTTTTCTTTCCCTGTTAATATCAGTGGCTCCTTGAGCACTGGATGGGAGATTTACCTCCTTGTCACCCTGGTCTGGGCCATAATGTCATCCATACCAAGGATGACTAGGAGTGGTATAGCCTCAAGCAAACTTCTCACTCTATTCTTGGATGCTGAGGGATTCAGGGGAATACCAAGACTAGATTTTTGGTTATCTCATTCCCATTCTTCTGGGGGGTGTGTATGGGGGTGTTGGTTGTTTACTTTTTTTACAGTTACTTGAAGTTCTGCAATTTTTTTTCTTTTCCCAATTCAGATTCAGAAGAAATAGACAGAAAAAGAGCAAGAGTGAAAAACAGCGAAGGGGGAGACGTACCACAGAAATACTTTGTTGTCACAAACAACCAGCTTTTACGAGTTAAATACTTGCTAGTGTATTCACAGAAGCAGCATAGGAGGTAAGAGTTCAGCTGTCTAGAGGGATGAGCTGCTACAACAGCCAGATAAACAAATCTCATTGTTGAAAAACAATAGAAAACAACCAAGAAAGATATACTGCACTTCCAGAATTTGTTTGTAGCCTGTTTCCTATGGAAATAAGTCTTACACAATCATGTTGCCTCTGTCTTGCTCTTTGACATTCCCAGGCTCAGCTAAATTTGCTTTTTTTACCAGACCTGTAAGCACTTAGAGTCTTTGAGAGGTCTAATTATCTGTTTGTGGCAGGAATCCAAGAGTGAATGTCTGGTGAGTGCACCTCTTACAACTGCCTCAGTTTTAACTCTGCCCTTATCTATCCTAAGTGGCAGTGTTCACTCAGCTACTCAACACATGTCTACAGGCCAGGCAGCTACAGCTCCAGACCACAGGGAAAGGTGTGAACATGGGGAGAAAAGACAGGATTGTGCACGGAGACTTAAGGAAAAGGGATGTGGTGGAAATCAGGCTGCCTTAGTTACAGAGATTGTGGAACAACTTTCCGTTTTTATAGGATTTGCTTAAAATAATGAAGCCTGAAATACTTTTTGCCAAGATATTTGTGCATCTCTGACAGAATTCATGCCCTTTTCCCCTTTCAGGCCTTCTAATGAATCTTCCT